AAAAAAAAAAAAAAAAAAAAAAATCTGCAGGAGCGAGATATGTATGTAAATTATGACGATAATTATTGATCGATTATAAAGGGAATTCAGGAGCGTCGATGGCTCAGTGGTTAAGGCACATGACTTGAAATCTACAGGTCTTTGGGTTCGAATCCCGCCGTGTACCAATGTGATTTTCATATTTTCATATGTACATAATTTACCCGACGTTCTTACGGTGAAGGAAAACATCGTGCTGCCTGCACATATCGGCGAAGAAATTCAAAGATATGTGTGAAGTCGACCAACTCGCACTGGGCCAGCGTGGTTGACTATGGCCTAGTCACCCCTTACTTAGTGTAGGCTCCGAGTGCCTCGGTGGGGACGTATAGTGAGCTAGTGATGAATAAATGGAATTCTAGAGGATATAAAGATATAGGTAGAGTATAGAAAAATAAATTGTAGGATTCACATTCAACAAAATATAAATATGTTTCCTATGTTTTAATAAAATAATTTCGTTACTTTCCATTTGAAATCATGACTTGCTAAACACATTTGTAAAGTTCACAAAAGAAAGTGAAACAAACCAAGAAAATCGATCTTGTTTCCTTATATTATCAAACTCCTTGTAAATAAGTGCGTGGGAAAAATATGACTTGTCATTAATCGTATTTCGGGGCTCCGATCCTACGACCGATACGAAATAAACCTGCGGTGAAAGTTTGAATCGAGGCTTTTGCGTTAATATCCGTAAACCGAAAGGTAGTCACGGCAGAAACGCATTTGTGACGCGACGGCTCTTGATCAGTGCCACTGACCACGCCTTAACCGGATACCTAAGTATTCTTAAATGAAACGAACTCATTTGTTTCATTTGTCCAAAGAAAGCAAAAATAGAAATATACATTATTGAGTTTTTAATGATATCAAGCAATCCAACAGCTCAATTGCCTTGTAGCCAAATAGAAGAGGAAAAGATAAAACGGAAAAAGGAGCCTTTTAGATCCGCTACAACTGTTTAATTCCTACTGTTATTCTATTAATATGTAACAATTTTCTTTCTTTTCCAGATCCCCCAATGGTAAGAACTCGTTACAGTAACGTGGAATTTGATACGTACTTTTTCGTCAGAGTAATTTAAAACGAACGTTTTCGACAACCTGCTAATAACCCTGCTGTGATTGCTGACACCCTTTGATGACAGGTTATTGTAATATTTCGACAAAAACACGCAACACTATAAAAGTCATTGTTCTAAAATGTACTCTTCACCATTGTGTTAAGGTTGAAATTACTATTCAACTAATTGCAACACCTATCCTGATGTAGTTGAAGTGTCACCGTGGGGGAAATATAATCGAATTCGCGCTTCCCTTATCGCTGGTATCGACGTATGATTAGTTCTGTGTACTCTGCAGACAAACAACGGCAATGGTACCGCATTGGGTTTGCGGCATAAGCCCTCCATAATTGTCCTCGTAAATAAACTTTGCGGTAATCGTTTCCGTAATTATATACATCGAATGATTTGTATCAAAATGTATGAATTCAAATTCAATTTACGCAAAATATTTTAAGACTAACTTTCGCCCCCGATTCCGTCTGCGTTGAATTAAAAAAAAAGCAAAAGTGAGCAGTCTATGTATTCTTCCAGACTATCCTCTACATCTATACCAAATTTCATCGAAATTAGTTTAGAAGTTTAGGCTACAAACTCTAACAAACATCCATCTATCCATCCAAATTTTCGCAATTATAATATTACTACTCGTATATTGATATTTGGATAATGTTCAAATAAGTTTTAACGCCATAGATGTCTTAAGAGGCTCTTCTAGTCGTAAAAAGTTAATTGCTTCAGTCGCCAATAAATTAATATCTTTGGCTACTTTTAATTTATTTCAAATTCTATAGATATAACAGACCGTCTATTTCCACGAAGTGCTAATTGTCTTCGAAATTGACGTTTGCATGTTTGATGAGCAACTGCATTATGATTGCACCAAGCGGAGGTGTCATTTTATTGTTCAGTTCCGATAACTTTTTAAATTATACCTTAAAAATAATTTTATGAATAAATTGCTCGATATCTATTTCTGTTAAACTCCAAATTGTCAACTAAATTTTTGTAATGTTAAGTTACATTATAGAAGACATTCGGATAAATTCAAGCATCACTTATTGAGCTAGCGCGCTCTATCCTTCGTCCGCGTCT